CCCTCATCTGACAGCCGGGGAAGCTGAGGCACTGAGAATTCACGGGACTCGCCAAGGTCACAGAGCTAGAAAGGGGCAGGGCTGGGGCAGGGCTGGGGCCCGGGCGCAGCAGCGTGGCTCCGGAAGCCTTTGAGCCTCTGCTTGCTCCTCACTTACGCATACAAGTGCTTCGGCCGGAGCATCCCTTTAATTGCAGAAAAGGCTAGATGACGATGGCAGACTCCTGCCTGATAAGGTGGGAGTCCCATCTCAGCTCCACTCCTCAACTAGATCTAGGCGACGTCCCCAGTAATTCCCATTCTGCGGGTCAGATGCGAGTCTCCAGGCAGGCCTGAGACCGGAGGGCAGCTGCTCCTGTTACAGGCATGCCTAAGGAATAGCTTAATGCTAAAAAATGCCAAGGCAGGTACAAAAGTGACATCAGAGATCACTGATCACAGATCACCATGAGAAATATAGTAACCGTGAAAAAGTTTGAAAGTGCAAACAAAACAAAACAAAACAAAAAACGAGGCATACCTGTATTATATTTGTTATGGTGACGTCAAGCAACGCTACCCAGCAGCACTGCGTGCTACGGAGAAATCATTCGAGAAAGGAGGAGTAAGCCGACCTCACTCCTGTCTTAGTTTAGGAAACTGCCGCAGCCACGCACCACCCTGATCAGTCAGCAGCCACCAGCACGGAGGCAAGACCCTCCGCCAGCAAAAAGATGATGATTCGCTGAAGGCTGAGATGATGATGGGTAACATTTTTTAGGACTGAGGTATTTTTGAGTTAGGGTGTGTACATTGTTTTTTCAGACATAATGCTACTGCACACTTAAAAGACTACAGTATAGCACACTGCAGTAATGTCGTTACGTAAATGTAACTTTTCTATGCACTGGAAAACCAAAAATCCTCATGTGCCTGGCTCTCCTGCAATAGTCACGTTCTTGTGGTGGTCTGGAGCGGGACTCGCAGTACCTCTGAGGTGCTCTGAGATGAGCAGGTAAAATCACAGCCCTGCTGGGGGCCAAGGGATGGCAGGACCAGGAGTGTCGCTGAGTAGGGACCTCCAGACCCTCACAGCATCCTCCCTTTGGGTCAGCACCATCTACACATGTCTGTGCCCCACATATATCACACACCACTCACTGCGCACGTCCTAGGCGCCAGGCACTCCGCGCCTGCAGGATCACACAGCCCGTAAGTCACGATGCACAACTCAGACCCTGGTCTGGTCGGCTGTTAACACTGCTGCCAAGCTGATACCTCAACGTCACTGAACGCTTTCCAAGCTGCTTCACGTGCCTCACCCTGGTCCTCAGGGTAACCCCGACTCACAGGTACCTGTTTTACAAGTGAGAAAACCGAGGTTCTGAAATGTAAAAGTGACTTGCTCAGTGGCACCCGGATCTTAAGAAGCAAAGTCAGGGTTTACACTTGGGTCCAGCTGTCTCTGAAGCCTGTGTTCTTCCA